TGTTAGGAAAAAATATTGCAGAGAAATAAGATTATGTGAGAAGATAGCACTTAAATATATCTTCAGCCATTTTCAGATTATAAGCATTGGCCTCTGGTTAACTGGGGAGGATTGGGGACAGTATGTAAGAATGTGTGCATAGTTAGAGGAGTCACCAATCACAAAGCAGGTTCAGAAATGGTCTGAAGTGGCATCAGGTTATACTATGTCATAGACTTATTCACAATCCATTACTAAATTTCAAGATGTTTGCAAAGCAACTGCTGGAAATTAGTATTGAGTCCCAGGATAGGACTAGGTCTTGGGGCAGACTTAGTGCTCCAAGAGTGAGGAGAGTTTATGAATTACATTTGACTTCTAGGACCCAGTTTTACACATCCTTGTGGTGAGTGGGCTGAATATTTGTTTTGAAATTGTTGACCCACCTTAGGCTGGAATGAAACCTAAGTGGGTGGAATGCTCATCTTTTTTTTTTCTAATTTAACTTAATTTTATTGTAAAGGTGATGTACAGAGGGGTTATAGTTACATAAATAAAAATGAGTACATTTCTTGTTGAACATTGTTGCCCCTTCCCTCATTTTTCTCCTGCTTTTCCTCCCCCACTCCCAAATTGCAAAGTTCATTTCAACATAATGTCTTGTGAGTATTAGTTGTATTAGTTCACCTTTTGTCCTTTGACCATTTTGTTATTGTCCTTTCTCTAAGGTCTCAGAGATAGCTTGCCAATGATTTAAGTTCCCACCTTGTGTCCACCTGTTCACAAAAAATATGTTACTATTTCCTGATACTGTTATTCCAGTGTGACATACAAATTCCCACCCCAGTTGCAACAGTCTTGATACAATCCTTTTTGGTGTAGTGGGAAGACCCCTACTCAGGCAGGCAAGCCCACCCAGTTGTCTAGGGTGACAGAGCCCACCACAACAAAGTTGTTAACAAAGAAGCAACTTTATTGAGAAGGTTCCTACACTGACATGTCAAGGCCTCAGCACAGGCTCAGGAGCTGATACTGCAATCCGGAGCGGCCCCCATTCTTTGGTTTTTAAAGGCAAAATTTACAAGGTTGAGCCTGGTCATGTGCAGGTGACCAATGGGATTGTAACACACAAAAGATTGCACAGTCATCCCAGACCACAGGCAGGTTGCCAGTGAGGTTACATTTTGTCTCTTAATGGCTGTTTAAATCAGCCCATTACTTTTGGTTTTAATGGTGCACAAATTCAGAGGGTAAGGTGAAGTTTGCAGTAAGCACATGCAAAGGAATTTACAGTAGGCATGTGCAAAAGGTCGAGTTTACCGTCAGCACCAGGTGTCACCAGTTTGAGACATTACAACCTAACCATTTTATTGGTCATCCTTAACTGAACAATCAAGGGTGGGTTAGGTTGATAAGGGGAGGGGTACCAGAGGCATTCAACTGGGCTGGTTTGGAGCCAAGGTCTGGTTAACCTTGTTTAAAGGTTTTTAGTCACCACCCTTAAAGGTCAGTCAAAAATGGAGTCTAAAGCTGGGCGCTGGTGGCTCACACCTGTAATCTAGCTACTCAGGAGGCTGAGATCTGAGGATCGAGGTTCAAAGCCAGGCTGGGCAGGAAAGACCGTGAGACTCCTATCTCCAAAAAACAACAAAAAAACCGAAGTGGCACTGTAGCTCAAGTGGTAGAGCGCTCGCTTTGAGCTAAAGAGCTGAGGGACAGTGCCCAGGCCCAGAGTTCAAGCCCCACGACCAACAAAAAAAAAAATGGAGTCTCAAATCCCTAAAACAAAAGCAAAACCTGGAAACAAGCTGTACCAACTTGAGTCTCCTCTCAGGGCCTACTTCATTGGAATATGACTCCCCCCCATTCCTTTATAACACTTCTTAGAACTGACCCTACCCCCAAATTCCCATAGTCTACCTACATGTGACTGCCCCATAAAATTGTTTAAATTCAACTTACACCTGTCCATGGCTGCTGCCTCCATTTCTGCTTGGAGCAGCCTTGCAGGTCTGTTCCCTAATAGAGCCTTGAGCCTGTAGTTGTCACTCACCTCTCATTTCTTACACCTCTCTTCCCCAAATCAGATAAATGTATATACAAGACACAGGGTATCAAAATCAAACAGGATAAACCAGTGACAACAGAGAATAAGCCAAAGGAAGAACAAGGAAACAACTTCATACAGTACATTAAGAAAAACAAGACCAAAAAACCCTCTTGTTTTCCATATCTTAGAGATCATTTCAGTTAGCATCATTTTACATGATCATATGTACATAGTGTAAGGTATATTAAATAGGTGGGTTTCATTAGGTAGCCACCACACGCTATTCAGGTAGTTTATTTACCGAACTGCTGCCCCTCCCGTGCATAGTGGAGGAGCACAGCTGAAAAGGAAAGGGGGGGGTGGGGAGGCGACTCACCTCTAGGCCAGGACTTATGTAGGCCAGGGACAGGAAGAGGTGTGGCCAGGTGGGGGAAAGGTGTGGTTGCATGGATCTGGATGTGACCTCAGGGTCTGGGACCCTCTTAAGGTCAGATGGGATGCTTGTGACCTGAGGTGGCTCAGGATGTGACCTAGCCAGAGGGGAAGGTGACTGCTTCCAGGTCTGGCAGTTACCTACGTAACAGATACTGAGTGGAAACAGCCAAGAGGGAGGGAGGTGTCCCTATGCAGACCTTACACTTAGCTATTGACCTATTGTGATCCTCTGCTAGGACTTTGAGACTTAATCCTGGTCACCTTTTGGCTATGTCACCTGTAAATTGGAAAGCTTAATAATGATATCTTTTCTCAGATTTTGTGATCTTATCCCCTATTTTAGTTTCCTTTTGCATCTCCCATCATTCAGGCTTGCTCCTATTAATTTATATCCTTAACTTAGTGTGTGTGTATGCGCGCGTGTGCGAGTGCGCATATCTATGTCTGTGTCTGTGTCTGTGTGTGCTACTCTTCTTCGAGTTTGAACTCAGGGCCTCAGTAATGTCCCTGAATTTTTGCTCGACTAGCAATCTATCATTTGAGCCATAACTCTGAAAGACCCCCTCCCTAACCAACCAGGCCCTGAGCCTCTTTATTTTAGGGGAACAAAGTTTTGTATTTAACCAAGCTATTTCTGGCTTCTGTAACATGCTTTGCTAAGAAAATTATATTACCACACTCCCCTTTTGATAACTAACCTCACCAGTTAATCAATAAGCCCACACCCTACTAACTAATCCCCCCCCCCCCCCCCCCCCCCCCTGGTGTGAGCGAACGACAGGCGCTGACTCGGACAAAGGTCACTTCCTCATACCAAGGGCCGGGACATACAACTCGGCACGTACACCGAGGGACCCCCTCGAACAGTGATTGGCCAAAACATATGATTTGTTTTAAAAGGATTGGCTGCCTGCGTTGTAACACTTTAAATTTACTGGCTGAAAAAGCGGGCACTCCTGTAACGGACAGAGGGGTCCCATAAAAGGACCATCCCCGGGACTGCTCGGGGTTCCCAGACACTGACCTGAACCTTGTGGATCTCGAGGTCACGTGCACCTGGGAACCTGGGCATGCCCAAATAAAATCCTCTTGCCTTTGCATCTGGTGTCGTCTGACTGGTGCTTGGGGCAGGGAGGTCCTGATTTGGGAGATACCCGAAGTCGGGGGTCTTTCAACTCTACGTCTGTCTTTTTATGGTGGTTAATTGGAGATGAGTTCAGGCTGGCTTTGAGTCATGATCCTCAGATCTGATCTCAGCCTCCTAAGTAGCTAGGATTACAGGCCTGAGCCACAAGTACCTAGTCCCTTAGCTTTTTTTTTTTTTTCTGTTTTGTTTTTTGTTTGGTCAGTTGTGGGGCTTGAACTCTGGGCTTGGTTGCTGTCCCTGCAAAGATCAATGAAAGGATTCATCACATCCATGCCAGGGGACCATGAGGAGGCAGGCAGGCACAGGAGAAAGATTATTACAAAGTTTATTAGAGGAGCCATATTTCCCCCGAAGGGAGAGTGCATGGCAGCCTCCACTATAGGTAGCAGCAGGGTCTGGGGGGTAGAAAGTGAGGTAGATGGGAGTTTGGGTGGATCTGGGTGGAGAGAGGGAGGGGCCAACTATGTGGTAAGAACTCCAGGGCAGGGAGGAGCTCAGGTCTGGGTGGAGCTGATGTCCAAAGGTGGACAAAAATGCTTATAGTCCTTGTGCTCTTCAGCTCAAGGCCAGTACTCCACAACTTGAGCCATAGTGCCACTTCCAGTGATTTATTGAAGATGAGAGTCTCACGGACTTTCTTGCCCAGGCTGGCTTTGAACCTTGATTCTCAGATCTCAGCCTCCTGAGTAGCTAGGATAACAGGTGTGAGCCACTAACGTCTGGCTCCCTTAGTTTTTATTGGTGAATATTTAAGTTGTTTATGTCCTTTATCTTCCTTAAAATGAATAATGAATATTTAGGTTAGTTGGGAGACATGGCATTTTTCAGTTGGGTTTTGCTATATTCTTTTTTTTTCTTTTTAAACTTTTTTTCTTTATGTTTTTTTTAACTTTGTTTTTTTTTGATCATTGGGCTTGAACTCTGGGCCTGGGAACTCTTAAGCTCAAGGCTAGCGCTCTACCACTTGAGCCACAGCGACACTTCCAGCATTTTCTGCTTATGTGGTGCTGAGGAATCAAACCCAGGGCCCCGTGCATGCAAGGCAAGTACTCTACCACTGAGCCACCTTCTCAGCCCTGCTATATTCTTGTGTGTGATTTTTTTG